TCAGGTCCCATTTGTTTATTTTTGCTTTTATTTCTATTGCCTTGGGAGACTGACCTAAGAAAACATTGCTATTATTAATGTCAGAGAATGTTTTGCCTGTGTTCTCTTCTGGGAGTTTTATGGTGTCCTGTCTTATATTTAAGTCTTTAAGCCATTTTGAGTTTATTTTTGTGTATGTTGTGAAGGAGTGTTGTAACTTTATTGATTTACATGCCACATAGGAGATTTTGCACGATCTACCTTGGGGCCAAATTTAAGGAGGCTTTTGAGAAGGCTATGGTGTTTGTAAATTTAAGAATTCTTCCAAGTTTGATATTCCAAATAATATTCATTCTAAATATTTATTGAATTCCCATAGTGTATGAAGCCCTGAGCTTTCTGTTGTGGTGCTTAGAAGTGGTCCTTCCTTCTCTTCCCAGAGTTCTGCATTCATTATCTACATGATATGGGTCCAGGCAGGACATAAATCCAAATGTATATTGTATTAGTTTCCTGAGGCTGTTGGAATAAATTACCACAAACTTAGTGGCTTACAACGGGAATTTATTTTCTCACAGTTCTGGCGGCTAAGTCCAAAATGCACACTCCCTCTGGAAGCTTTAGGGGAGAATCTGTACCTTGATTCTAAGTAGCTTCTGGTGGCTGACAGTATTCCTTGGCTTGTGGCCACATCATTCCAAACCCTGCCTCCGTCTTCACCTCCCTCTCTTCTGTGTGTCTGTTTTTCCTCTTTTGTTTGTGAAGTCTCCCTCTGCCTCTGTCTCATAAAGACACTTGTGATGGCACCCAGATAATCCACTGTTATCTCTTCGTTGCAGTATCTTTAATCACATCTCCAAAGACATTTTTTCAAATACAGTAATATTAACAAGTTTCAGGCATTAAGGCTTGGTAACTTTGTGTGGCCGTTATTCAACCAACCACACTCATCTACCGCAGAAATTACATGTAGCAATCTGAGCATCTCATCTCTCTCACTGCATGATCCTCAGCAGTACTCACCCCACAATATATATACCAGCTGTAAAGCCACTGTTGACTCAGAGCAGCACATGATGTGTTTATGTCTTCCGCTTTCTTGAGCACTTCAGAACGAACTGTGCTAGTTGCTAGAGGGCGAGGTAAACAGAAAGCTCCAGGACAGCAGGGTGAGGGCTGTGGTTGGAGCAGAGTGCAGGGGCACTGAGAACAAATTCGAGGGGCTCCTAACCCAGTCACAGTTGAGCAGGGGAGGCCACCTGGAGGAGGTGAGGTCTCATGTGGTGCTGAGGGGTAAATAGGAGTTCACCAAGAAGTGGGGAAAGAGAGCTCCAGACAAAACCGCCTGTGCAAGTGCCTGGAAGTCTAGATAAGAGATTGGCAAAAGGGATAAAATGGGAATGGATATATCCCGAGGCTATTGAGAAGGCAGACCTGGCAGGGATCGGTGATTGATTGGCTGTGCAGGAGGATGCAGGAAGGAGGGTCCGGGTGGAATTCCTGTCTGCTCTGGGCAGCCAGGTTCATTCAGTGAGACAAAGGACACAGGAGGGAAGGACTGGAGACAAGATGATTCGTTTGGTTTGAGAGAGCTGTTTATTCTGCGAATCTGTTTCTCTCTGGCTGTCTCTCTCTCTCTCTCTCTCTCTCTCTCTCTCTCTCTCTCTCTCTCTCTCTCTCTCTCTCTCTCTCTTTTGTCAGTTGAAAACCACCCTGGCCAAGGATAGGGCGGTATCCTTTGCCAAGTGAGCAGTTTTCTTTGTCATTTACTCTCACATACAAAACCGTGGAACACCGCCATGAAATGATTCATGTGTAAATTATTTGGAGTTAGAATCATGAATCACTTAACATAAACAATGGTAGATGACTGAATAATGCAAGTTCACTGCAGTTCAAGACAGAAGTGATGTTCACGTTGTATTTAGAAATATTTCCCTGGAAAATGTAACCTAGAGAGCATTTTTATATATTAGAAACAAAGATTACGTACGGGTTGCATAAGAAATAGGAAGATAACATTTGTAAAGATTTTTGTGCATTGTTTTGTTTTGCTTCTGAGGATGGTTTACCTTAAAAAGAGGATTGTTCCTTCAAAGACATATTTACATGCATCGTCAGAGGTTGGGAAACAAAGGCTAATAGCTCCCACATCCCAGCAAAAACCTTCACTATGTGTATAGAATACTGGCCATTGTTGAGTAGCATACAGTAAGCCGAGATAATAAATAATGGTGGAGAAAATGTTGCAATATTCACTTAATGTTTGAAATGTAACACTGCCCAGAGGCCCTGGGAGAAGTTCCACAATGCGTCTCAGAAGACTCTCTGTTGTGCCTTTTAATGAAAAAGATAACTTGGGGGAGGTGTAGTCTCCGTATGTGGTAGACTTCTTATTTTAGCTCCAATTTGAGAGAATTCTTGGGGTACTGGTGATGGGGATTATTTTACATATGTCACTCTAAATTAGCATCACAGACAGAGCCCCCGAAGAGAGGTAAATTTATAGACTCTCCCAACCTGGGGGAAATGGGGAGGAGGGAGAACTGACATGATAGTTCCACTTAGCTTGAAAATCAAGCACCCATCTTACTACCATGTCGTCTCGGCTTCACACAGAGTGAAATAAACTCATTTGGTTGCCTTTACATGTTCACAAAGGTACATCCGCCTCTGCTTGTTACTGTGATCAAGGACATGGTTGGCACAGATGAGCCAAAGGCTTCTAAACAGGTGTACAAATGTGGAGGGTTTGCTGCATCTTTCCTTTGTCTCTGTGGCCATGAGGAGTTGGCTGCACAGCTGCTTCCCTTGGGAGGGACCAGGGCTCTGTTGCTGCCTACTGCTGCTGCCCTGTGGGACTGGAACCACGTAGGGGGCCCTGTGGCCTCCCAGCTGTGGTTGGCTAGGTTCTGAGAACCACTGTTCTTCCCTGTCTGCTGACTCCAAAGCCATTCTAAGTCTTCCCAGCCCTGCTCATTAATGGGCATAGATTCTCTTCCTGTACAAAGCCTGGTGTGGTTCTGCCTTGACTCCCAAGTTGGTGTGAGACTACCTCTAGTTCCTATCTTTTCAAGGAATTGAATAGTTTCAGCTTTGCAGCTATCATTTTGAAAAATTACAACTTTGACTAAAGCCTCCCCCTTTGAAAGGTGATATTGTACAGTACAAAAAATGTGGACTCGGATGTCAGGACCCTAGGTGTGCACCCCCCCTCCAAGGACTGTTCTAAGGATAAGCATTAAGACATTACACAAGTACCTTGCACAGCGACTGACAGATAGTGACTAGATTCCTAGATCATGTTGGTTCTTTTCTTTCCCCCATGTTGGTTCAGCATTTGCACTGTCATTTTCCAACATTTACCAAGTGACTACCTGGACAAACAGTGCATTCAGTGCTCGAGAAACACCACCCACCATGAGCAGCAGCCAGCAACAGATTTTCTCTGAACGTTAGTTATTCATCTGTTATAATTCATACTTCCACCTGTTGTCGAAAAGCATTTGAGATGGCTTTGAGTAAAAATACATGTATACATGGATGCATGAAGATGAGAGGAACCATAAATGGTATCCTGAACTAGAGATAATTATCTTACTACTGCAGCAGAACACTAAATTTAGTTGAAATTCATGAGAGCAAAGGAGGCAAAAGGGGTGGTGAGAGGGAAGCGCACACACACACACACACGAACATATAATATGAATATATGCATATATGTGTATTGAATATTTAGGTAGCAAATGATAGCTCTTATAAGGTAAATTTTATAAAAGCTATATTTGAAAACCTAGAGTGTGTAATAGGGCAATTAGCAATTTTTACAGGGCATTTCCTAAATTCTAAACAATTTATTATTACAGTTAATGAGGATTAACAAATATGACATTGTTGAGAGATTTTAATGTCTCATAATAAAATAGACCAATTGTTGCTCATGATTCATGGGTTGGTGTATTGAAAATAATAATGCCATGAGTAAATGTTTTGCTACAGTGCTGATCTCAACTGCATTACTCACCAGGACTGATAATCAGGTGGTATTTTCAGAGAAGTGATGGTCCCCATGGTACTATATGTTTCCTGGTTTCTGAAATACAAGATGATAAGGAACATCCATCTGGTGAATGATTTCATACCCAATCATAGGAGAAGAAAGTTTCTTTTTTATGAATTTCAACATGAAATTCAAATTCATATTGGTAATAGTTTAAAAACTAAAAATGTTTGTAATGCTAAAAGTTGTATCCCATAAGCATGCCAAATTTCCTTATATGCCTAGTCTTTATTTCTGAGTGTATACTGAAAGGGAAAAGTGATTCCAGCTGAACTGCAAAGCACAGTGCGGCGTACACAAGCTTTTATAGCATCACAACCTCTTAAGGTGTTAGAAATAAAGAAGAGACAGAAAGGAGTGTGTTCTATGTGCCAGATAGCATGCCGAGCCTTTTGAGGGATGTATTTTTTTTTAATAAATTTATTTATTTATTATTTATTTTTGGCTGTGTTGGGTCTTTGTTGCTGCGTGTGGGCTTTCTCTAGTTGCGGTGAGCGGGAGTTACTCTTCTTTGCGGTGTGCGGGCTTCTCATTATGGTGGCTTCTCTTGTTGCGCAGCATGGGCTCTAGGCGCGTGAGCTTCAGTAGTTGTGGCACACAGGCTCAGTAGTTGTGGCATGTGGGCTCAGGAGTTGTGGCACACAGGCTTAGTTGCTCCGCGGCATGTGGGATCTTCCCGGACCAGGGCTCAAACCCGTGTCCCCTGCATTGGCAGGCGGATTCCTAACCACTGCGCAACCAGGGAAGTCCTTGAGGGATGTATTGAAGAATGTCTTTCTGTTGGTTACAGTGAGGTGTCATGCTGACTTGTCCTGTCCCTAGGGACATCAGCTGGGCCAGGGTGTGGTTTGTCTCTGTTCCTTCAGTGTCAGATCTACAGCCTGTGTTGTCCTCCAGAACACAGGGATAGAGCAGAGGGTTCTGTAATTTCTGATCTACCTCTCTAAACCCTTTTTGACAGGAGCATCTGATTGAGAACGAAGTGTCGATACTGCGCAGAGTGAAACATCCAAATATCATCATGCTGGTTGAGGAGATGGAAACAGCTACTGAGCTTTTTCTGGTGATGGAATTGGTCAAAGTAAGAGGATGGAGAGATTTCAAGAGAATTCATTGATGACAAATCCCAAGACTTAACAATATTCTTGAAGGACCTAATTGGAAAAGTGTTTTGCTACCTTGAAACTTTCATTATTTATAATCATCAATTTTAGTGGCACTTGTGTCATTTTTTTCATCTACTCCAGGCTGATGAGCTTTCTTTGTTACCTTCATAGAACTGCCACTGTTGATGTTTTGTTTTGTTTAATATTTATTTATTTGGTTGCACTGGGTCTTAGTTATGGCAGATGGGCTCCTTAGTTGCGGCACGCAGGCGCCTTAGTTGTGGCATGCAAACTCTTAGTTGTGGCATGCATGTGGGATCTAGTTCCCGGACCAGGGATCGAACCTTGGCCTTCTGCATTGGGAGTGCAGAGTCTTAACCACTGTGCCACCAGGGAAGTCCCCACTGTCGATGTTTTGATATGTTCTTTTATGTGTCCTTTAGGGTGGAGATCTCTTTGATGCAATTACTTCTTCAACCAAGTACACTGAGAGAGATGGCAGTGCCATGGTGTACAACCTGGCCAACGCCCTCAGGTACCTCCATGCCCTCAGCATTGTGCACAGAGACATCAAGCCAGAGAACCTCTTGGTACGTCATCTCTGCCTTTTTCTGTTCCAACTCAGGCCTCTCTCCCTTTAAAGTGACAGTAATTGCATGCAAACAATCATATGCAGACTGACATTTTATTTTATTTATTTATTTATTTTTTTTGCGGTACGTGGGCCTCTCACTGTTGTGGCCTCTCCCGCTGTGGAGCACAGGCTCCGGACGTGCAGTCTCAGCGGCCATGGCTCACGGGCCCAGCCGCTCCGCGGCATGTGGGATCTTCCCGGACCGGGGCACGAACCCGTGTCCCCTGCATCGGCAGGCAGACTCTCAACCACTGCGCCACCAGGGAACCCCCAATGACATTTTAAAGTCTATACCAACCCTGCAGACACGGGGCTGAGAGAATTTAAATCTAGAAAATCAGCCTGACTCAAGTCAATGACCATAAAATGTTAATGGATTTCTTGAATTGATCTGCACTTCTGCATTTACTGTTTACCAGACATTAGAAAACATATTTTCATTTACTATTTGATGGATGGTGCTAACTGAAGAAAGGTGAGCAGGAAAATTATTTTATGAGGCCAAAAAATTCTGAATAATAAATTGGAGACAGAAACAGAATTAGAGGCTTGTAGGAGACAGCAGTAGAGCACAAGCGTTCGTTTCTGTGCAGGACAGAACTTTGGAAATGATCTAGTCCATTTCAGCTCTACAGATATGGAAATTGAGACCCAGATATGCTCACTTTTCTTGTTTAAAAGTCTCATTTGTCCCATTGTTCTACAGATGGAAGTCTTATTCTGATATGTACTCAGCTTCATAATCTGGTTCCAGCTTACCTTTCCAACAACCTCTTCTCCTGTTACTCTCTTCCCTACCCATCTGGCCAGCATGGCACTCACCTTCAAGCCATATTTAACTCACCTCATGGTGGCCTTCAAACCAAACATTGCTAATGGGGACAGTCCTCCTGTTTACATTGTAGAGAAATTTTAGAGAAGGCGATTTGGGAGTTCTGCACACACACATCTCCCAAACGCACACAGGACTCTTGGCTTCTCTGTTTCCACCTTTCAGGGCTGAGCGTCACCATCATCATCGTTACTGCTTGGCAGGTGAGCCCATCTGAGTCTCCCATATCGTGTGCATCCAAGCACAGGTTTCCCCGGGTCTAGGAGTTGGTGAAGACTTGACTTCCTCAGCAGCATTATACCTCATTGTTGGTGTCCACACTGGTCTCTGTTTGCAGCATCCTCTCCCCCAGCAACGTGGCAAACACGTTCATCTTGTAAGATACTGAGCAAGGCCTGTCTCCTTTTTTTTTTTTTTTTTTTTTTTTG